ATACTTATTAGAGGATGATACCCACCTAGATGCAGATAGAGGGTAATAGAAAGAACGACAAACCTGGAGATCCTGTCTTGTGCTGCTTCAAAGATATGTTTTCTTTAGTGTCAGGAGCAGGACCATGGGACTTGTCAGTTAGATGATGGAATATGTTGTGTGGGATCAACAGTAAGTGAAAGCAGTGTTTAAAAAAAAAAAAAAGAAAAATAATATCCATAAGTGTTGATGGTTCTGTAGACTTAGCTTGTGAGTAGTTTAAACTCACCATTAAGTTGTTAAGCTGTCTTGTATTTAATATAGTTCAGGGTTGGAATGAGTCTGACAGTCTGTGGGAACTGAATTTAGATTTTGGGATGCCTCAAGTGGAAGCGGTTAGAAAGAAGGGCTCAAATTATTCTCCCCTTCTGTTTCTAGGCCCCCTTCCATTTTTCAGAGTAGAGAGTCTTTGATTTCTTAAATAGGAAAAGTAAGGATAAAGACTTGTACCTCAAGCAAAGTAGTATCTTCTAGATCCTGACTTGTGAGGAGGTTCATGGAGGCACAGCTGCAAAGATTCTTCTGGTTCCTACTGAGAAGAGTATGAACTTAAATGGACTCTACTTGTTGTAGAGTCACATTCCATACTGCTGCCAACCCATCACCTTCTGTTTCCTTTTCCTAGCTACTTCTTCTAGCCATCTCCTTTTTTTTTTTTTTCTTAAAAAAAAAATCTCTGGTCACTGAGTGATTCTGCCTGCTCAGCCTGCCACTGGTTACAGCAATTTGACTGAGGAAAGGTAGGAAGGAGAAAGCACCAAGTGCCTTTTGCATACCGCTGATAATAGCTCTTTCCACCAGTTTTGCAAAAGTCTGCAGACTTGCTATCAATGTCCCAGTATATTGGGCATTCCATCATGGCAAAATCACTGATCTTAGAAGGTAACTCGTAGTAAAAAGAAATGGAATAATAGATTAAGCATTAACTCTTACATGTATACCTTTATGTTCATTTTACCAAGTGCTGTCAGTATATACACAGAGCTTTTTTTTTTTTTTTTTAAAAAAAAAAAAGTACTTGCTCTGTGATTAGAGCATAGGATTGACATAACTTGTTAGGAAAACTTCTGTATTGGGTGAGATACTGAAAGATATTTTGTATGGTCTTTGGAAGTTTCTTACTGAGAAATTGTGATGTTGAACTGGATTTTTGGGGGGGTCCCTGCCAACTGCCCATTTGTTTGAATCTGTCATTACAGTTTGGAGTCTCCCCACCTATCTACTGGCATCTTTTCAGTGCAGTTAATTTCATTGACACTTGTAAGTAGTACATTAAGATGTCTCTGCATAGCCATAAAAATGGAATTTAGTTTCTCTACTGTAGGTTTCATGTAATACGTGGGGTTTTATGATTACCATTGTTTAAAGTTTGGTGATTTGTTAAAGTTGTTAATTCTTGGAAGTAGAGATGAATAGATGCTTGTTTCCCAGCACCTCCAAGTTGCCTCTTTTTCCCTCCTCCCTTTTTTTTGGTGGGGGAGAACTAAAGGAAGATTTGTCACTTCATTTTTCATTATTAAAAGGGTGAACAGTCCAGACAGATAATCCTGTTCCCATCGAGCATGTTTGAACAACCAAGAAAAGACCTGTTTAAAAATAGCTGTGAGACAATCAGGTTATCTAATAGTTTACCTAAATTAAGAAATCCAGTGGTCAGAGAATTGTTATTGTGAAACACAGGTGTGTTAGTTTGTATTTGAAATAGTTCTCTAATCCTGAAAATAGAGCTAATTTTATTAGTAAGTAGATAATTAACAGCATGGGCTAGAATTTGTAGTGTTACTTATGTACCAATGTGCAAAGTAAGAGGGGGAAAATGAAAGGAGAATAAATAGAGGTTTCTTAATTTTAATACTAGTGGAACTTTTTATTTGATACATATAACTTCTAATGGTCCATTTTGAAGTGACAGATAGGGTAACATTGATGGAAGGGTATCCTGCCCAGAAGGAAGAACTATTCCCAGCTTCAATAGACTCTACGGAGCTTCCCCTTGCCCCTCCAAAAGCACAGTCCTGTAGTGCAGGCCATCTAGGTAAAACTCAAAACTGACCCTAAAGCATGATTAGATGATAGTCAACAATGGTAGTCCAGAAGCGCAATGCTGAATGTCATGCTAATTTGTAAGGATGAGAATGTAGATGACTTGGCAGTTGAGGAAAGGATATCCTAGATGGCTTCACAATTGAGGCCTAGGGCTAGTTAATCTATCTACTTGGTGTTATTTTAGGCTAAACTTTGCAAATTACTCACTTTCGTTCTGAGATAAAGTCCATTTTTTTTTCCCACTCTGCTGACATATGTGGGAGCTAGTACATGAGAAGTCCTGCATTGTCTTACATAGTGTACTTCAGAAAGATAAAGAAATTGCTGATGCAGTTGAGTGTTAGAGATAACTGCTCCTCAGTTTTATTTGAAACTTATATGAATATAATGAGAAAAAACTAATTTTTTAAAGCAACTTTTTTGCACTTCTGAGAGAAAAGTGCTATATGGATTGAGGGGTTGGGTTTTTTTCAGAAAACCAACCTTTTTTCACTAGGAAAAAGTAATTTTAGCCATAATAGGTGCTCTTGCTGGGATTAGTAGATACTTCGGTTTATCAGAGTCAGAATTACAGACTTCTTATGGTAAGAAGTCTTCTATCAAATATTAGAGAAGGGAGGAGAGCTACTCTAAAGTATCCAGGATCTCTTGTCATTTAACTTCAGTTCAGATGCACTTGAAGAGAGTCTGATCCATCCTTAGTAACTGGAGAACTCAGTCACAGGGAAAACTCAAACTAAAATGGAGTTCAAATCTCTGTAACACCTTGAGCAGTGCATTACAACCAAAGTGAGTAGAACTTCTTGCAGTGCTTGAATGACGTTCCTCAAATTCTTATCAGTGTTGGTCTTAATTTTTTTTTCTGTCTGTTCATTTCTAACTTCTGCCCAGAAGAGCCACACAAGGTGGCTTAAAGTCTTTTTTTCCTAGAAAACTGTATTGCATAATCTTGTAGCATTCTGCCCTACCGTGTTTTTCTGGGTTGCTTATTCATGTTATCTCCTCATCCTCATGAACCTCTATGTTACCAAAGGACAGTTTTACAGAGCTAGTAAAAGAGACTAACTTGAAGAAGAAGTATTCTTATTTTTTGTCTCTATGTGATATTATAAATACTAGCTATGTATCATAAAACATGCCTTTCTGTCTGCATGTGGTTAGCTACTAACTGCTAGCTGGTGTGTGTTCTTTGGTGACCCCAATACTCAAGCGCATCTGTACTGAACTGTTTCTTCCTTTTTAACAGGAGAATCTGCCCTCATAAAATGCATACATACTGAAACTATAGTACGAACACTGGTTAGCTTGGCACAAAGCCCGAGAGTCACAGGGAATTGCTGAAGTTTAACCTTCCCCATCTACCAGCCACATCTCAGAATTTCCTAACCTTGTAGTAGATACCTCTAATGCAACACCAGAGGAGAATACTTGCTTTGAAGCTTTATTAACACTGAGGCAACAATAATAAATAAAGATAGTTTGATTGTGAAATGCTGTTTGCATTACAGAAGTCAACATGAGTCACTAGAGCCCTTACCAGGTTTTAAGTGTAGGCATGGCTTTTTTTCCTTGATCTTGAATTTTGCATCTTAATTTACAGTTGTTTCAAAATACTTATAACTGTAGTATCATATTATTTAATGTGGAATAAAGACTGAAGATATATTTTTGTATAGGCTTCAGCTGTACTAAAAAGTAATTAGATTTAATTGACTTTACACTGTGACATGTAATTGTTATTTTGCTGTCAGCATAAATGGATACTAGCTTTCGCTATGGAAAGTCAGCTCTGTCATTAGTATACTGAGAGACTGGTCACGTTTTTTTAGGTGAAGACTGACACAGATGTAGTCAACTTACCAGAGTTACTTTTTGTGTAACAAATTGGTGACATAACTGTAATATTCCTTCAATTTCATGATTGTGCAGAAAGAGAAAAATATAGGAAGAAAATCAAGAGTAAAATTGGAATGACTGAAGCATCAACAGCTTCACTGATCTGTATTTGTACAATGTGTTTATACAAAATTTAAGAGAATACCAAATGAAATGCTGATGCAAGCTAACAGTTGTCACAGGTATGAGACATGGTACTTTGGGACATGGTTTAGTCTAGTCTACCCTTAATTGGTTTAGTGTGGACTGGATGATCTTAAAGGTTTTTTCTGACCTAAACGATTCTATGATTCTATGAATTCATATAATGTCAGGCATTTTAAAACACTTCAGTTATATTGCTTGGCTTCACTGAGCCAAACCTTTGTTTTCATACAAAGACAATGTAGTATATTTCATATAAAGATTAGCAGTACGATTTGCATCAAAGAATGTAGTGTTGTAATTTGAACAAGATCATTCAATGAGTAGAGTTGTTTACATAGTTGTGCATGTAACTCTACCAGTTTAAGTATTTTTTTTATTAAATGTTGTTGCCCATCTTAATTTTTGAGTTTCAGTTGAAACAGTAATTAGATCACCTAGATTTCCTTTACATTACTTAAATGTTGGCAATGAAAGTAAAATAAGCTGATAGATGTTCTTACCTCTTCTGCTTCACAGTGCTGGATGTAAAATAGTTGCTTTTTCCCTTAAGCTACATCTGTGTCTTCTGGAGGAATGGGAACAAGTGTGTAGTCAAAGTCAGCATTTTAGATTTATGCGTTTAAGTCTAACCCTGTTTTCTGGCTTAAATTATGTGAATTTAGCTACTTGTATCAAAAGCATCTTAAATAATCTTGCTCAAAAAAATCATTCTAGGCTGTGGTCTAAATTCTTGTAAAATATAAACATTTTCTATAGATAAATTTTACAGTCTGCAAATTGTTTCCAGGAAGATGTTGGTTAGAAGTACATTGCTTAGTGCTCTTGTAATTGAAACTCAAAAGCAATTGACCATCTTGTTTTATTCACTTTAGACACTTCAACCTTCGAATGAAGAGAGATACATCTCTTTTTAGTGATGACTTTAAAGTAGAAATATCAAACCAAGTAATTGATTATGATACCTCCCATATTTACACTGGACACATTTATGGTAAGTACAATGCTTTAAAATGGATTAAAGCGCAGTCATTTTAAACAGGAGTTTTTTAATAGTACATGCAGAAAATTAGTATCTGTATGATTACGTTATCTTCATTATTAAACTTCAATAATGCATCTAAATGCATTTAAACTCCACCAGCTTTTATTCTCATGTAAGAGTCACACTTAAATGAGTATTCTACCTAATAATTTTCGTATCTATAGAACTTGAAGTTTAAGTCTGTTTATGAACATACTCTTCATAGACATCTGATGCATTTGAAAAAGAAAAAGAGAAAAACTGTCTGCATTAAAAAAGATCAGGTACTGTTCTTAGTTTAAAAGAATTTAAGGAATATAGAGCTACCGTCATTAAGGGTAATATACCTGATTTCAGTAAATACAAAAGATAAAATTGATTACAAAGGATGGAGAATTAAGGAACTGAAAGCAGATGAAAAGAAGAGAAGGATTAAGACTTGCTCTGTCCTTCTTTGTACAGTCTGTTTGGGTCTGAAAGGAATCTAACTGCTTCCTGAAGATCTCAGTAATGTCCTACAGTCTTTAAGTGACTGTTTTAAACTGTGAAAAGTAGTATACACACTTAGCACTTTATATACATCTAGGTAGACCAATTTACCAGTAGACTTAAGTAGGTCAGTGAGCTTTTAAGGTGTGTAGGGTCTTTTGTTGTGGTTTTTTTCTTATTTTGTGAAATTATTTCAGAAAATCTTTTGGTTTTTTCCTTGTTGGTGAGGGTTGAGATTAAAGGATCCACATGAGTCTACTCACTGGGCTTACTCTACATTTCCTTTTAGTCCTTTTTATCTTTCTCATTTAACCCAACTTTGTACTTGTCATGAAGATCATGAACAAAGTTAGATTAAATAAATTGTTTTCCTGTTGGTTCTTGATTTCCATTCAGATCAAGAGTCTTCCTTCTGAGTACTCTGAAATTTCCAAAGATGGCTTCTAAGTTCGGCATATTAATGCACATTCTGTTAGAATATAGTCTAAAGTAAATCTGGGATTGCTTATGAATGTCGTAAAATTAGTGTTCCACAAAGCCTATTTCTAGTTTTTAGTGTTCTCTCTTAAGGTTTATATGGCATATCTTCAAGATACTTTTTCCAAATTTCAGTACTGTATATGAACTTTATAAAATTATTGATAATTGTTAATTAGAAATTAGTACTGGTTAATGATAAGAATGAGTACAGTTCTGATAATTTGATAGTATGATTCTGAACCCTTCTCAATGGAAGAGTATATAAACATTCTTCTAGTAATCTTTCATCCTTTTTATGGAAAAGGCTTGTGGGGCATGCTGCATGTTGTAGCTGTCAATGATTAAACTTTGGCAGTTGTATTTTTCCAGACTGTGACTGTTTCAAATACAAATTCACTCCATACCGCATTTAAACCTAGCTACAGTTTTAGGAGACTTATGATTGAAGTCAAAAATGGATGTCTTGAATATAGGGAAATCTTTCTTTGAAAGCTTTCAAAGTTCAGTATGCACTCTGATTTTTTTTTTTTTTTTCCTCTTTATAATTGTATGAATAGATGTATAAAGACAGGACTTGGATATAGGATTACATGCTGTATATGTGACAGCTTTAAAATACAGAGTTGAATGCTTTTTACACATGTCATTTATGCACTTGATTACAAAGCTATTGAACTTAGTAACTATGATTTTGGTATAACTGTATTTCTTGCTGTGGAATAATCTTCGTCTTAAATTCAGACATAGACTTTCTGCAATAAGATTCTGGATAACAGCAATAAGACATTATTACTGTGTAATTCATATAGGTTTTTATGAGCTGGGAACTGGTGAGTGATCAGGATAATTATGCGAGTATCATGCTTTAGCATTATCTGCCTAACACCTTGGGTAGTGTGTATGCTTGAAGTTTGCACACGACTGAAAGCTTTTAGAAAGGTATAAAAAAACTAATGCACTTCTTCCTTTAACAGGTGAGCAGGGAAGTCTTAGCCACGGGTCTGTTATTGATGGAAAATTTGAAGGATTCATCCAAACTCACAGTGGGACCTTTTATATTGAGCCGGCAGAGAGATATATTAAGGACAAAACTCTACCGTTCCACTCTGTCATTTATCATGAAGATGATATCAGTGAGTACTTCCATTTTGTGCTGCAGATGACATAAATTTTTTTTTTATTAAATGTCAAAAACTGTAAGCCATTTGTAAGCATGAAATGAGACTTCGGCTTGCATATGACACTGTGAATCATGCTGTCCTGAAGTGATTCATATACAGTTATGGTGTGAAAGAGATTTATGGCAAACCAAAGTAAGTCTTCCTTATTCTGCCATTTCAAGAAATCCTTAGCAGTCAGGCTTAAGTGTATAAGCAGTGTATTTTCTACTCAGTGGATACACGTTTCTGTTGAAAAATGTATTCTTAAAATGCTCTATACTGATTATTCTTCCCTGTGATCTGCAAAATAAAGGATAATTAAAGTTCGAGTTGCTAAGCATTTACCTACATCTAGTGAAGGTGGTACTTGTGGGAAATAAAAGTTTCCCCTGCACATGTAGGTCACAGATGCCTTCAGAGAGCTCTCTATAAGATGTGGTGGCACCCAGTATGCCCCATTTCACACAATGACTGATGGGAGCGTACAGAGAATACTACCTGAATTTGAAGAGTATAGTCCCAGAAGTCTAGCTTTATTGTAAATGCCCAAAAGGATGAGAAAGTACCGTGGAATACTCTTACATCTTCAGAACTGATGCATCACAGTTCTCCTGCTCTCTACCTGCATTTTTATGTATGATCAGTCTTCAGCTGTAGTAAAAATCAGTTTTATTTCATGCTTAAGTAACTTCATGCTGAACCCCAAAAATACTGCAATAAAATTGTGATTCCAAGTTTCAATCCTTCCAAGCAGATGTTGGCAGAGAGTCACTTTAAGATTACCTTTTGGTTATTGAAGCTAACAAGTTGTGTGTTGCAAGCTAAATTTATGTAGGACTTCAGTCTTGCTTAAAAATCAATTTAAACTATAACTTCATTTAAAAACTTGTCCCATCAAGCCATTGTGCAAATCCTAGAAGACTTGAGTTTGAAATCTCATTTGGAATTGGCTGAAGAGTCTTGGGTTAGATCACTAGAAATTACTTGAACCACTCTCACGATGATACATGTATAAATCATTTTCAGAGTAAGTCATAATGAGACTGTATTGTGAAAAGAAATGTCAAATATAGGAAGATAGATGAGGAAAATCTGCTTGTGATTTGGCTTAATATATAAGCATTTTCTCTGTGCTGTAAGTCAGTGAAAAACACAGGGTTATTGCATAATGTTCTCTCTGGTTACTTCTCTTGCATGAATACAGGGAAAAGAAATGATCTTTCTCTGCTAAAAACTGAGCAAATTTTGTTTATTTTTTCTAATTGAATAAAGCTTCTGGAATACAGCTGTATTTTACATTCAGTGGCAGTATGTCTGTTGTCTTTGAGTACGTTAAAATGGCTGTGAGCTAGCAGATATGTTTGTCCTTCCTGTTACCCCATTCTGTAAATATGATTACTAACCCAAAATCAAATAGAAGTTGCATAATTTTAAAGAGCTTCTGAATGAATGCAGTTATTTAATTTTATGTACATTGTAAGCTATACTTGTTTTCTGACTGACTAAATGTATACCTTCCTGGTGCTTACAAGACTCATATTTGAGAGTAAAGTAACTTTATAGGATAGTGTTCCATATACTGCTTTTGATTCTCGAAGAGAAGTTGCAGCATGCACTTAATTTTCAGCTCTACAGAGCGTTGCAGGTGAAAGTCCGAGAAGGCAGTTTGCCTTGCTAGCTGCTGTTGGAGCAGTAATAACAGGGTTTGCTGCAGGAACAGAGGAGTAGTGGGGAAAAGTAATAAAAAAAAATTACAAAAGCCTGGTGTGAAACCATAAGATGTGTCTTTTATAACAACATTTCTGTGAATAATTTGCACATAGTTCTAAACTCTTCGGTATGTTTTATAGGTCTCACCGAACAGTCCAATTTCACTGCTTGATAGTGGGAATACTGGGCTACCACTTATATAGCACTTTCTTTAAATAAGTCACTGTCTGCTTTACAAAGGGTTTTATTAACCCTGTTGAAGAAAAGAGGGGGAGGAGGGAAGTAAAGGGACATGAGGCAGTAAAGCGATTTGCCCAGTTTTCAAGAGGTGAGACAAGCAAAAAGATTGTCTCGTACTGGTTCCTTATGCTGTAAATAGTGGGCGACTGAAAATATTCTTTTCACTGTTATCAACATGAATAATGACAGAAATAGAACTGTACCCTAAAGAAGGAGATAATTTGATTTTATGAAAGTTAGTATTGCTGTTTTGTAGAAGTGATCTCTGTTGGAGGAGTAAATGGATCAATTGAGAGCTGGAAAAAGCTAATGATGAAATTGGTTCATATTAATGTCTTATTAAAGTGAATGGGAGCAGGATATGTATTTTTTAATTGTTCAGATGATGGTATGTGGGCTTACACTGTGTTTCCTCTTGAATCTAGTGCATCAAAATGATCAGTTAGAAACCAAATCAGATTATCAGAGAGGATTGTCTAAATCTATTCCAGAGAGCCACATTAAAGCAACAGTACAATATGGCTTCCAAATCACCAAGTGAGTGAATGTTGCTGCTTGCTCAGCATGGTTGAAAATAGCCCATCCTGGAGCTAAATCTAAGCAGCACTATTTGAAAAGGTGCCGCTCCTGTTGATTGCTGTCAATGCAGAGTCTGATATGCATGCATTCTGGTGGTACAGTTTAACTTTTTTCATTGGTATCCTACATGCCTGTAGGATTTCTGTGGTCTGAAATATCTTAAGTATACAACTGCTTCTGTCACTTTTTGAATAGTGCTTTTGAGGCTAAAATTTTTAGCCTTTCATGAGAGCTATTTTTGCATTGAACTGCAGCTCCAAAAAACCCCCGACGACAACTAAAAAAAGCTAAGCTTTACAGTAGCTTTAAAAATAAAAACAAGCATGCAAATCTGTTGCTATTGCTCTAATGTAAAGCTAACTCTTGTGAAATAGAGTCAAACCACTAGTATCTTACACAGGACAAAAGCAACAAAAATGCTTACATTTCTAACTCAGGAGAGACTGGGGAAAGAAGTTGTCTTTGCTTTATTTTGGGATATTTTTTGGTTACTCATGTTTATTTTTGAAACAATATGCTTTTTAGTGCTTTTCAGAAATCACAATGCAACATATGATTAGCATCTCAATGAGTTCTTATTCAGCAGTTAAACAAAAGGGTTTTTTGTAAATGGGGATTGTATTGTCAACTTTATAAGGCAGCTTTTGTTACAGTGGTTGTGGTGACCAGTGGAAGGCAGCCTTCTTTTCATGACTCGAAACACAAGTTGAATGATTTTTGTTTCTAAACCACTCTTGATCAAACTGTTTTATAATTTAGTGCTAGGAAGATGCAAATGGTTATTTTCATTAAAATATTTTTGAAACCTTTCTTTAAGGATTAGGAATATATTGGGAATTGTATTTACCTTATTTAAATCATATATACTTCAAATGTATCCCTGAGTTTCTACTGTAAAATACAAAATCGGTATTTCCTCAATCAACAGTAGACAGGAAAATCCTGTTCAGACTTTTGGGAAAATCAACATGGTCATTTAATTGTCTTTGTGGTCTTGGAAGAGCTATACAACTGAGAACAGAAAGTAAAGTATTTTGTAATTTTGCAAAGCCCTATCTGGTGAATGAACTGACCATTGCAAACTATGTATTATAAGTGAGAACTTGGTTTCTTTTTTTTTTAATATTGTGTTTGTTGATTTAATAATGAAGGTCTACTTGGCAGTTGTCATGGGAGCACAGTGTGACAGACTACTTAGGATGAAATCTGTAATAAGGATTTTTTTGTGTGTGTTTAAATTTGAGTTTTGTTCTGACACTATTGCTTTTGCTAGTATTGGGCAAATCTCTATGGCTGTTGAACTGAATTTTCATCATTTTTAATGGAAGCTTGATGTCATATCCTTGCCTCAGATGCCTAAATCCGGTATCCGTTAAGTAGTTAACCTAAATGCTTAACAGATCATACTATGTACTGACGAGTAGAAGAAAAAAAATTCATGTGATCAGGAATTTCTTTGTGGTAGGTAGTACCTTTTTAAAAGAATAGAATTCTTATTTTGAGCATCTGTAGTTGTATATATCATTAATAATGATCTGCCATCTAGTTAGAAGAAGATATGGTCAGAAAGTATGAAATGACAAGATTTTTCTGTTGGTTTTTTTAGAATTATTACATTATTGTTGTTTACTATCTTTTAACATTCTGTCAGGATATACAAAAATTCAAAGTGGAAAATGGGAAACTGGACAATACGGGAAAAGAAAAATAAAGTATTTGTTTTGCCTGAGGATTTTCTCTAGTTAGAGAATTGATCCTGTAACTAAAGTCTTCTGTTATAGATCTGATGAAAAGTAGGCTTCTAGTTTTTCCTCAACTCTGCATTCACTGTAAGTAATCATTTCATGGTAAAGGCATGTGTTTTCTCTTGATCAATTCACAGGGTTGTGGTAGGGATGAGTTTAAGAAGCTCTTGATCCCAAAGAGCTGGCAGGAGGCTGTACCTCTCAAAGCATTTAAAAGCATCACAAGACTTCATGATGTGGGTCAAAGCTGTCCGAGTCATCTGACACCATGTAGTTCCTGCTTAGCTCCAGAAATGGAACTACTGCAGGGGATGGTGGAAATAGGAAGTCTCAAAAGATGAAGAAACTTCATGGTTTGGGGATAACACAGCATTTATCAAACGGAAGCTTTATACGCAACTTTCTCTGTAATTCCAAAGGGAACTATCCTGTAGTGCCTGCCTCCTGTGTTTAGCAGGGTGGATTCAAATCTGTCTATGATGGATTTGTCTTTTCCAGCACATGCAAGACCTTGGCAATTGCTGTTGCAGACTGTTTCATGTTCAATTCTTCATGATTTTAACTCTCATGCTTTTAAATTGTTTCTTACTAGATTATTACTTTTGAAGTGAGAAATACTTGTTTGCATTGCAGGCAGTCAGTATTAAAAATGTATTAAGGGATTTCCTAACCTCTTTCAGAAACATGATACAGACGAAAAACTGCTTTTGTGTAATGCACTGTGGGACCATTTATTTCTAGTACTGTTCTGTCAATTGTCATAATGCCACAGAGTATGAATGGAAGTGTGGTGATAGCAGAAAATGGCATTTTGTCCTGGTGCAAAATACGCTGTGCAGTCATGTTTCCAGTTAATTTCTGTGGATTCCTGCAGTTACCACCTGCAGGAGTTGCTTTGAAGTTATGATGGTTTTATGTAGATGAAGTGTGCTGATGGTGAGGCAGTATTGTCCATTACTCCGCCCTTGTGTAACGTGGTTTTGTCACAAAGATAAGTGGTTGGTGGTATGAAATCAGGTAGTGGGTAATGAGAATTTTAGTTAAAATAAATACAATAGAATTTTTTTTTAATACTGTGGTGGGAGGAAAAAAGGTGGTGGATATAGATATGATCCTTCCTTTCTCCACAATCCTTTGCTCTTAACTCCAATCTAGTGATAGGAAACAGGATCCCAAAAGTACAGATGACCTCAACAAATGAGCGAATGGTGCTTGTTTAATACTGGTTGTAGCAAAGCCAGTGTTCCACTACATTGCTAATCAGATTGAGTGAGGTGGCTTACAGTAAGAGCATATTTTCCCGTCTTTCTCTCTCCATTCTTCTGGCACTGTGCTAGGGCTAACCATACTGGGAGGAATGTGATGAGCCAGCAGTTCAAAGATGGTATTTATGTGGTGGTAGAAATTGAAATGTGGGAAACTAGTATGGAGAAAATCATTAAATAAACTTAAAAGGTTCTGATAACAGTCATTCATGAGCATTTCTGTAAAATAGTGAAAGGAAAATACCAGTTCCTTCAGAAGTCTAGGATTTTTTCAAAAACCTAGTACTGCACCTTCATTGTAGTTACCTCTCAAAAGGTTTTTTTTCTTTTTAATTTAAAGAAACAACCTTATTAAAATCCAAACAAATTACCTCCCACACAATATCAAGGTTTTGCTAATAATCTTGTTGGCAAACATCAGTCAAAACAGAGTAGGCATAAAGTTGACCAAAGAAAAAGTGATTTTGTTGTATGTTGGAGCAGCTTCTCTAAAATTCAGACTGGAAATAAGTTTTGAAATACAATATTGTGCTTGGATACCTTTACGGTAGATGAAATTAATTTGCTAGTGAGATAATGAATAACTTTTTACGCCCAACTATAATCTTTCAATTACTCATAGGCTGAAACTTTCTTTGCCAGGAAGTGTGTTTATTAAACCTGGTTCTTTCCCAGTAAGCAAAATTTACAATTGCAGTAAAATACTTTGTACCCGGAAAAGAACCTAATTTGAAAAAAATTGTTAACTATGTTTAAATTGGCCTCATTTGTCATTACCCAGTTTTAAAAAAAACTGTTAAACATGAGCTCTTTAAATACTTGTAAATATGTGTGATTGAGAGGAATGAAGGTTGGAAGACTGCTTTTATTTCTTGATCAGTCCTTTTAAGCTTATTGGTGGGTCCACTGAATCTAGTCTTTGGGTGTTTTGGATCATAAACTCATAAGAAATGGTTCGTTTTTTTCAGAACTCAACTTTAGCTGTATGCCAAGGATATGATTGATTTTTTTTGTTGTTGTTGTTCCTGCTTGCTATTTAATTTTCCCCCAGCTTTTAATGATTGAAATACAAAGTTTAGAGCTTAATGACATAGGGAGAAAGTCTGAAGCAAGTTGGGCTTGTATATTGAAATAGTTTAGCAGTAGCATGCAGTACGACTGCAGGGAGCAGGTATGAGAATCAAAGATAAATAAAGGCAACTGTCAGATGAAACTGTACCGGAATGCATACTCCAAGAGTGCATCTGCTGTGCTCCAACTGCTAACAGGCTTTGACTCCACAGAACCAGACTAGAGCTAGTCCAGGGTAAAATCCCCTGAGATGAATACAATGTGGACATCAAGTCCTCAGTGCCATGTCTTAGGTTTTATAAATCTACTCCTATGTGTCTGTTCTATTTACTCTGTGATTCTGGATCTTCACACTTTCTTTAAAAATAAAAAAAACCACAAACAAAAAAACCTGCCAAACAAACAAAAATAAAAAAAAAAATCCCACCAGTAAGTCCCAAAAAAACAACAAACCTTGGTAAAGTTCACACATTTCTGACAGAACCTGCACCCTGATGAGATTATGGTAAAACTGGTTTGCCCTACAGAAACTGGTTCCTTAAGTATTTACATATGTGGCTCCCATAATCTGTACTCCATTATCTCTTACTGGGACACCAATTTATAATGGGATCCAATCTGCAGAGAAACTGAAGGTGCTAGACCTCTTCCCTTTGGTACTTCTCATCTCCAGAGGAAGCTTCTGCAAGTATAGGTTGCTTATAAATCTCCATCAGGTACTAACAGTCAAAACCTAACCATATGTGTCTGAAGCATGTTCAGATGTGCAGTGAGATCTGCATTGACAAGTACTGAAAGAATTACCCTTGGTAAGCACCAATTGTATGATATTGTTACTTAGCTAGTTTGGATCTCCAGCATGTTTAAGTGCTGTGTACCTGGATAGTACTACAGTTTGTTTTTAAAATTTAAACAGTCAGCTATAGTAAGGAGGTGATGAAAGTGTTTTTTCCAGTCCTCTTTTACTTTGCCTGTAAGCTTTAAATATATCTGTAAATGTTTGTAATCTGTAATTCTGTAAGTTTTAAATCTACACACATGCATATATACATATGCACACTGATCTCTTATCCTTAATTGTATTGTTTACTTTCCAGAATGGAAATTGTGCATTTCACCTTGTCAATAAAATTGCTAGCAAACTCATAGTTCTAGAATTGTGGAGTTGAGTTTGAAACCAGTTCTTATGTATTGGTAGATAAGTTGCATAATATGACAATTTTTAAAAATTCTATGGAAGATGAATGAAGTAATAGAATCTTTTAAGAATGTTAGCAAAGTTCCTTAGTTTTGGTTTACCAAGTAGAATCAAAAAACCCTCTCTCCTATCCAGGCAGTCTTTAGTACACTTGAGCTCTAATAATTTTCCATTATAAGTACTTTTTTTTTTTTTTAAGGCTGCTGCTAGTTCAAGCTAATCAGTACAGATGTGTACATAATAGCTCTTGTTCTTATGTTAGATGTTGTTCATATTTTTCTTTAGCTATCTATAAGAAAACAATGGTAAGAAGCAATTGTTTGTTTTGTTCTGTTTGTAAAACTAAGAATGTATCTTAGTAGAAATGTTTAATGAAAGAAGACAGCTGCATAAAGCTTGAATCTTAGAATGCTTCCCCAAAACCACATAAGCAATATTGGACACAAACTGAATAAGTTGCAATGATACAGCCGTATTTGGCAATTGTACTTGGGATTTGAAAACTCAAAACTGGCCTTCCTCTTTTTAGAATATCCACATAAATATGGACCACAAGGAGGTTGTGCAGATCATTCAGTATTTGAAAGAATGCAGAAGTACCAGATGACTGGTATAGAAGAACCAACAACAGAGGTACAACACAGGCTAATGGATTATGTTGAGTAGAAATTAGTGTAATTACTTCCTATTTCTTGTATGTTGTCTCTTTCACTTTTGGTCAGTCATTGTCCCTCAACATTGTGAGGTATTTATATTATTGCTAGAGGTCTTTTATTAACGTTATTTTTCTAAATTCTTTTTCCCATTGCTTCTACAGCATAAATGTGCTAGCTCATAGGCTTAATGAATCCTTCATGATCTCAAATTTTTCAACAATTGGAATTTTAGATGGATGTGGAAATCAAGGTTGAAATGGGGAACATACTGCAGTTGAGAAGGAGGAGTTTCAAGATCCCTTGATCTCTAAGTAGTATATTGGTCCTTAAAGAGTAATAACTTCTAGATTTTGAAGTTAATGTAACACATTTGCAATATTTGAGTGCTTTCAGTGGTAAATGAAGTGGTATGAGTGGGAGGGTCTTACTAGCAATATTGAAAGATTGAATGGGTCACAGCATGCTACAGATTGCCTGTAATAGGAGGTAAGTGGTCTATGGAAGGGCCTTGCGTACCTGTTTAGCAGGTTTTTTACCTTCAGGTTTGTACCACTTGTCATGAAATTGGAATTTTTTCCAACAGTAAATTATTGAGTTTCTCTTAGTGTTACCTATGTTCTGAGCTGTTTCAAGTTTTGGTATCCTTTTGTGGTGTCAGTTAAGTATATGCCAAAGAAATTACGCAATATGTCTTCTTAAATAGAATCAGCAACTTAAAGTTTATTTACATTGGGACTCCAGAAGTTATCAACAGTGTCACACAATTCAGCCTTGGTAACAATAACATGCTTTCCCAAAAATTTACTTGTAAAACTCCATGGAGAGAGTGGGCCATCAACCAGTGAATACTGTAAGGCCAATGTGTTAGCAGATACTGCTCTGACTAATGAGCATTATCTTAACTTCATGTTTAGTGTACCATTTGTTCCGTGCTGAAGTGCTTAAGTATTTCTGTTTGCCAAGGTAGCTGACTAAGGTAATTACAATTTGAAATAACCTGTGTTAGGGAGGGTGCATTTAAGTTCCACAGCACTGTTTGCTTCTAATCTACAAACTGTTCATCTTAGGAAAGGATTATGAAAAAGAAAAATTCCAAAGATCACAGGAATGAAAAAAATCTATTTCACATTGACTGCCTTTTGTAATATAAAATGAAATGCACAGAAGGGTTTGACTGAGATATCATTAAAAATAGATGGCATAGTTGAAAACTGGCTAACATACTTACTTTATTTCCAGATTCATGAAACTTTGTGGGTTAAAGAAAAAGAATGAAAATCTGTTTGTATTAGTTGAGTATGTTTAGAAAAATCCATCACTATTTTTAGGTAATCTAGTACAGCATGTAGATCTACAAAATTAATATATTTATTTCCTGTGTATATGTAGAAGCCTTTTGAAGAGCCTAAGAACAATGGTCCACAGCTTTTAAGAAAAAAGCGTGCTACTCAGGCTGAAAAAAATACGTGTCAGCTGTATATTCAGACTGATCATCTGTTCTACAAGCATTATGGAACAAGGGAAGCTGTAATTGCACAGGTATTTCTAATCCCTTTGTTTTATATGATCTGCTTTTACTTTATTTGTGTATTTCTGATAAATTTCACGTAACTTAATTGTGTATATTATTGAAACAGCTTTTTTTATTTCACTAAAAAGATGCTATGTAGCTGTGACAAAAGTCCTGGGCACTTGTGCTTCCTCTAGTTAATAATGGCGGCTGTGGTTTGTTTAGCACCTCTGAGCAAGACTTGCAGTCTGGCTTTTCCCAATTGTTACTTAGAAAAATAATACTTCCTGAAGAGTTCTAGTCTGTTTGACAGCCTGCCAAGCCTCGGTGTTAACACTTGCATAGCCTTCTATTTGAAATTTTAGTTCAAAACACTGTGGGCTAATGACACTGAAATCTGTTCCGGTAGTGTCTGTAGTAGTGGAAGGTTAAAAAAGCAGTGGCAACTAAAGGCAGGTGCTTTTCATTTGTCAATATACTATTAAATGGAAAAAGTTTGGTTTGGTGGTGGTTTTTTTGCTGATCATTTGCTAAAAATATAACTACAACATACTTCTCTTGAAGTCTGAAGTTTCACTGCCACTTTTTATTTAAAAAACTACTGCCACAGATTTAAAAAATCTGACTTTTACTATTTATTCATCACACTGTATATATGCAATTCAATTTGAGTAACATTTTCCAAAGCTCTGAAGTCACCTTCCAAATCAGGTTTTCAATGACTTAGCATTTCTATGTGCTCTTGGATAAGGTAAATGATCAGTTTTTTTCACATTTGTGTTCTACCAGAAATGAAAGAATAATGCTGTAACAAGTAAATTTTTTCTCAAAAAAAGTAGTACAGTGCTTTGAATACAATTTTAACTACAGTGCTATCTTACCGTAGCAATGAATCGAGTGAGTATCACAAACAGGTATCTCAATAGTTGACAGAATTATGTGTTTAAAAAAAAAAAGGCAAACAGCAAAATACTTTGCTGTTATCTGTCATGGTGGCAATGCAGATACTAGTTATGTAGTTATTTATTTCTGTTATTTGCCATCAGCATTTGATTAAAAAGGCCTGCTAGAGTTCATATGGCGTAATATCTTACATGTAAAAGTATAGGCCTCACAGTTGTTGCTATTGAAGATTAGCTATAGCGTAGTGCGTAGATCTTTGAACTGTAGATACTTTCATTTTTGACAGATATCCAGCCATGTTAAAGCGATTGACACAATTTACCAGTCAACAGATTTCTCAGGAATCCGTAACATCAGCTTCATGGTGAAACGAATAAGAGTAAGTTGTATTGGAAATACTTTTAGCTTCGTTGATATTGCTTGGGGGCTGTATTTTTTCAAAAGTCCTGTTGCTGTTCACTTGTAACCATTTATTGTTACTAATTTTGTAACACAAGTGTCTCTCTAGTAAATGGTTCCCTAACCAATTTATTTGGTTTGGTTTTAGTGTTTATTGTCAGAAGCCTACTACTTCTGTTATTAAGCTGTAGTCAATTTTTATAGGAATCAACTTCTTAGGTTTCAGCAGTGTTGACTGTGTGGCGAATAGACTGTATTGCTCTCCAAGAACTTTAATACTAAAATAGATAATGGCTATCCAGGTTGAAAGTTCCTTCTAAAAGTGATGATTTAAGAGCATAAATATAAACTTTTGGGTGCTGATGGAAAGGAAAAAGAAAGAAGAGAGTGAGGATTTACTACACAAAGGCAATTCTTTATTGTAGAACTTGGTTTTCCAAATATAGGGGTGGTAATTTGTCAAGGCCTGTAATCTTTAGCAACATCTTTCACTATTTAACATAACAAGGTATTGACAACAGTAAGCCTCTTAGCTGGTATTTACAAGTCCAGTGAAAATGAATCATGTCTTACCGTTTGTTTCAATTTACTTTTAGATTAACACAACTGTAGATGAGAAGGACTCTTCCAATCCCTTCAGATTTCCTAACATTGGTGTGGAAAAGTTTCTGGAACTGAACTCAGAACAGAATCATGATGATTATTGCTTGGCCTATGTGTTTACAGACCGTGACTTTGATGATGGAGTCCTTGGTCTGGCTTGGGTTGGAGCCCCTTCAGGTAATTATATCCCAAACCTTCAGCGCTATGAGATAAAATATTGTAGGTAGGTACAAAGAAGAAAGGTAGAAACTGTGTCATTTAAATTGACAGCAAATAGACACAAATCTCATAACCAACTTTTCACAATTTTGGTTAAGTATGGTTTGATTTTTTTTTTAATATAAACAGCATATCATGTGTCACTTCAATTAGTCTTGCTGTATTTCTGATAAGCAAGACGTGAACAATAAAGAAAAACATATTTCTTTTGTTAGACAAAGGTGGTATTACTTGGATGGCTTTTTACTTATGACAGGTATGAGTGACCAGTAAAGTATCAGGAGAAACAAGTATTTCTGCTATATATAAACAGTGCTTAAAAATATGCAGTTTGAATTTTGTAGTAGAACTACACTGCAGAATCCTTAGGTTTTCTAGGTAGTATTAGAAGCAATTTTTTTTTTTTTTTTTTTAAATAAAGTAAAATCAGTGAGATCTTGTCCTGGGAGATAACAGAATAATTATTGTGTGAGTCATCTTGAACTGCTTCTCATTAGTTGCAATCTAGTTGTGTATTTTGGGTCTGAAGTATGTCTCTTGATGTAAAAAAAAAAAAAAAAAAATCAAACAGTGGTCTTCATGTGTGCAGCATCTCACATGTTTGTCCTGGATGTATTTGTTTTATAGGATGTATTAGTGTTATAAAATGATATATTTGAAAGTTGTTAGTCTTTAAATTTGAGTAAATACAAATTCTTTAATTATAGCTTAGCACAAATTCCAAATTATGGAATTCTTTCACAGAAATCAAAATCAGAAATTCAGAAGTTAGTCTTCCCTTTGTTTCTTTCCTTGAGCGATTTCTATATTATGAGGAATTAGGCTGAAGAACAGCAGGTTCTATGAGACTTTGCAAGAGACTGGATACTTTATGAGAACATTATCAAGAGCTTTAACAGGTTTCAAGTAATTGTGGAAGAAACATTAAACTGTTCATGAGATGTAGCTATACATTATAAGCTCACTTTGTTTACTGCTCTGCTTTCCTCTAAAGCACACATTGGTTGTAGAGTACTTGAGCTATGTGGAAAACTGCCATGGTATGACAGTCTCTCAGACTTTGATCTTAAGACATTAAAATGCTCAAATAAGTATTAGTGGAGTATTCAGAGGGGTAACAGATCAGTGGACCCATGAATGTAGTAAGTATGTTAGAGGGACCTGTGTGGACTAACCTAACTGACTGTGGAAGAACCATAGGAAAAATAATACATAGGTGTGGCCCATGTAAATAAGAAACTGGGTCTGTGATAACTAGTGTAGTGTATAGACTGAGCAAGCACAGGATGAATTGGAATGTGCATTCCATAAACGCTGCTTCCAAAACTAAATTTAATTGAGAAAAAATAAGTTGCTTTGAGAAATTTTCACCCTTAATGCACATGCTGACATAGGTTAAATGGGATATTTCACTAAAAATGAAATTTTACTTCAGAAAGCAAGGAAACTTCTTTAGAGTGTTTTTTAGACACTGTTTGTGTTAGCAATAGAATAGCTGAATTTTTGAACATTGATAATGCCTCAGTACAAACTCAAGTTGCGGAAAAATTCGGTGAAATTAAAGTCACAATTTAGAGACTTTTCCAAACAGTAAGTGTGATGCACTTGATTGTTGACCTTCTAAACATGGGTCTGATTAACCCACACATCAAAAGCATTTTCAGCTTTAGTTTATACAGTGGAAAAATGAGTCACTTTTGCTGACAAGGACATATGGCTAGTGTTAAGCATTTTATATAAATGCTCTTGCCATGAGAGATGATCTCCTGTGATTTTACTGTGGGTTTTTTTTAACTTAGTGAAATCCAAATGGGATGTAGATTGAGGCTACCTGTATTGGACACTGCACCCTGCTGGTCTTGTGCTACAGCTGTAATGAAATCAGGGCTTGTCCATGCAGTGAAAGCCCAAAATAGCTCTTACTTAATAGCTATTCTAAACCAGCTAACTTCTTGTGTGAATGTGCTGAGAGCATTAGTGTGGATAAATCTAATCTACTTTCAAGGTTGGGTTAATATTAATTACACAGAAGAACTCTTAGTCTGCAAGCATCCACTGAGGGGGCAAGCTGTTTCTTGTTCTAAATGTCACTGGAAAAGTAACACAGTACCTTTCTTAAATGACTAACTGTTGTACTTTTCTCTAAATGCAGGGAGCTCTGGTGGAATATGTGAAAAGAGCAAACTGTATTCTGATGGTAAGAAGAAATCTTTGAACACTGGAATCATCACTGTTCAGAACTATGGCTCTCATGTTCCTCCCAAGGTCTCTCACATTACCTTTGCTCATGAGGTTGGGCATAACTTTGGTTCTCCTGTGAGTATTACTATTGATCTGTTAACTCTCTTTCAACCATTTTGAAGTGCATAATTTGTGAATGGAGTTTTACTTCTTATAAACAAGGAAAATATGATAATGACTGCATATGTGCATGCACATTGTATACAAACAAAAAACAGATTGCTGAACTAAGCCCCTTTTATGAATATTTGACAACACTGGTGCAACGGTGGATTTTGTGGAATTCTTTATTTCTACTAGTTCAATCTCTTATAAAGGGACTATATTATTATTCCCGAAAAACTTCCCTGTTTTATGTTCAATTATTTATACTTACAAGTTTATCTAAGAAAATTATGGAGAGGATTGAGATACCAAGAACAATATTTTATAGCAAAATTGTCTTCCAGTCATTTAGGGACATGGTTTGTGGCAAGCTGAAAGCATGAGGCTTTTGGTTTTGCTGGAGATGAGAACAAAGTTTCCTGGTTTGGGTTTTTTTATTTTTAAACTTAAGTATATAGGGTTTCTACTCTTGGAAGTAAAATGAAATCAAGATATGAGAGGAATGACAAGTTCTTCAAAAACAGATGTTCACATGTGAATGCTTTCTACACGTGCCTTGAGAAAATCACTGCTCTGAGTGGGAACAAGCCTTCCAAGTATAAGTGAAAATAAGAGCACCTGAAACTGAAAAACCAGTCCCACTGAGTGAAACATCTTTTGGATCAGCCTGGAAGATGGTTCTTTTAATTTACTCAAAGTTGCGTGTGATCCAGGGAAGTGTGTGAAAGTACATGTTTGGTTCTACCAAACTATAATAAATGATACAGTTCTCACAACTATGTTGAAAATTTTAAAATTTACCTACTTCTTTTGGAGACATAGGTTGTATTTCTGGAAAGTTGGATGTATCAGAACAGCATTAGAGTTCCTCTTACACTTAAAAATTTAGTATGTTGTCCGTCTGCTAACTGCTAGTATGCCAACCTGTAATGCATTTCATTCATCATGCTGGATATTGTATAGCTCTAGTCACTGGCTGACGGAAACAGACTTCTGCTCTATTCTAAAGATCTTGTTGCACCTCCCTCAAAACAAGCAAAAAGAATGGACTGCTGTTTCACTTAACTCCTCCTACTTTTATCCCACAGGATACTTATTACCATTTTGTGATCATAAAGCCACTTCCTTGAGGAGATGGCAACTTTTTCGAGTTGGTATTCATTCCAGGACATGCGCTTGGGGTATACATTGCCGAGAATGCAAATAAGCTAAAACTTAAGAAATTTGATACTTGCTACTGTTGTCTGGGGAAAGAAAAAAAAAAAAAACCAACAGAACAAACAAACAAAAAAACCCAAAACAAACGTTTGTTTTCTGTATGCTTTTCGTATTCCAAGAAACCTTAGTGTATAAGATGGTGTTTTGTTTTTATGAACCTTTTATTCTCACTGTGTTAAGGTTACCAAATCAGGTTACTTTTGCACATGTATAAAAAGATAGCAAGAAATTAGAGAAGCTGTCTTGATAGAAATAGTTTTAAAATATTTGTTTTGCAGCATGATTCTGGAATGGAGTGCACTCCAGGAGAGTCCAAGAACTTGGGACAGAAAGAAAATGGCAATTATATCATGTATGCAAGAGCTACATCTGGGGACAAACTTAACAACAACAAGTTCTCTATCTGTAGCATTCGAAATATCAGCCAAGTTCTTGAGAAAAAGAGAAATAATTGTTTTGTTGGTATGTATTTGGTCATCCTGAAAGCAGAATGGCTAAGCTATTACTATTATGCTTAATTAGAAATTTATTTTATTAATTTTTATTTTACTTTTTTATTTATCTTTTTTTTTTTAAGTTTACTGAAAGATTCTATAAGTAAAGAATTGAATTTGAGATCTGGAATACTGTGTCAAGTTCTGGGCTCCCCAGTACAGGAGAGACGTGGACATACTAGATTGAGTCCAGCAAAGGGCCACAAAGATTATTGAGGGATTGTAGCATCTGACATAAGAGGAGAGGCTGCAAGGGCTGAGACAGTTTAGTCTGGAGAAGAGAAGGGTAGGGAGGGGGGGCTCTTGTCTATCTTTATAAATGATTGGTAGGAGGGAGTAAAGAAAACAGGGCCAGACTGTTTTCAGTCATGCCCAGTGAAAGGACAAGAGGTAAGGAGCACAAATTAAAATACAGGAATTTCTATTTAAACATCCAAAAAAAAAAAAAAAAAAGATTTTGCAGGAATTTTCTTTCTGGAGTCTGTGATGCGTGAGCTCTCACAGATTTTGTGGGATTTGGTTTGGGTTTTGGAGTAGTTAGTAGTTCACCCCAGTACCATCAGCTTTTGCTTTAAGGCCCTCAGACTCTGTTAAGGGAGTGCAAGAAAGGATGCTCTTCCATTGGAGGCTTAGCAGAAAACTTCCTGTCACTGTTGATTTCCTATCCACACAAGAAACTCCCACTGTTATCAGCAGAAACCATTTACTCAGAGGCTTAAAATTCTATGAATTGTAGGAATGACTAAGCTGGGTGGTAAGCAAATAATCCAAACCGATTTGAGCCCTAGTCTGAAGTCCCTCTTGACCAGGCATTTTCAGTCATGATTAGCTGGATGCTGTTGCAAATCAATTTTAACATTTATAAGTCTATTTGCATATTCTTTGTACTGCTTTGTACATAAATATGCTGGCATTTTTCAGAGTCTGGTCAACCCATCTGTGGTAATGGACTGGTTGAACAAGGAGAACAGTGTGATTGTGGATATAGTGACCAGTGTAAAGATGAATGCTGTTACGATGCAAACCAATCAGAAGATAAAAAATGCAAGTTAAAACCAGGCAAATACTGCAGGTATTGTGCATGTCTGTTACAGTACACTTTCATTTGGGGGATTTATTGATAGCTATAATTGGTATTTTAGAATCTGAATTGGTTTACCTGCATTATTCTTAAAGTATTTATTTTGTTTAAAATGCTTTATACAGTGAGTGAGAACTTCATAAGCACATCTATGCTGTGCAATTCTTGGTGCTAATTGTAACTTGCTTTTCCTTAGATGACTGTTCTCTAGCTTTTGAAAAAAACATAATACAGCACTGGATTGTATCAATGCTAACATATCATAGTGCAGAAAAATGTGTTGAATTGTTATCTTTATTGGAAATGTGTTGTGCAGTATTCTTGCAAAACATGTATGATTCGGAAAAACGCAACCAGGATGCTGCTTTTGCAATAGGTACAGGAAAGTATTAATTGCCCAAAGGATAATGGAGGATATTATGAAATTGGATAGTATCTTAGTGCTGTTTCTACAGCATTGCATAAATGGAAGATGACTGAAGGATATAGTTGATTGTTTTGTTTGGTTTTTTTAATGCTTGTTTTATAAATTAAACTATGTTTTTAAGTCACCTTGTATCTTGGCAGCATTGTGTACACAGTGATTTGTTAAGAGGAAGTTTTAAAGATCATAAGACTTACCCTGAAGTAAGTCAACTTCTATATTTTAGTTCTGTCACTTCAGATACAGGTTAAATTTTTACCTCATCTGAAAACTTAAGTGGATTTTTTTCACATGAAGGGCATGAGCTTTTGTGCCTCTCTGGAAACAGACATAAATCTAATGTCTGGGTAGCCTCTTCGCCAAAGAGGAACAGAAAATTGCTCTTATTTTTAAGTCTAAACCAGCCTAACTTTTTAATACAACATACACAATTTTGTTCTAATTAAATTTTCCTGCCCTAAAAATTATCTTTGTCATCCTGGGAGTGGAAGTAAAAGTAGCATCTACTGTTAAAATGTATTTGATAGTGTAGGCATGGTAGAAGGACCATCTCCTGTGAATTCATAGTTACAATAATTTTTCATGCCTCCCCCCCAAAAATTTGCAAACTCTTACTATTTCTGAAAAAATAAAGGCCTTACATTGTGTTGTTTTATAATTGGTTTCTGAGATTTTATGTTGCACCTATGCTGAGGAGCTGTTTCCTTCCGAGTACATCAGGTGCCACCACCACTTCCTTTCTTTGCTCTCTTGTGTTCAGCTGACTGTAGTCTAGGTTTATGCCCTTCTGGAACAGTTTTAAATATGAATTGCTGCATCATTTTTGGGTTTGGATTCCCTTTTTTGCAGTTCTGTTAAGATTGAAAATTTTGCTGTACAAAGAGGTTCCCAAAGACATGTAAAGCAAATCCAGGTGTAAGAATGGATCATACAAATAACATGTTAAAATACATTTTAGGAAAACAATGGTATCCATCCAGCTGCTTTACGTATCTTTTAGTCCTTTATGTGTGACGTAAAAGTGATTTTTTTTCTTAGCATGCCATAGTTTTAAAATAGAGAGATCCTGACCTGCAGAAGGTCTGTTGTATCTTCTGATGTCTACTGAATGCCAACGAGCACACTGTGAATAGTGTTGAGATACAGAATAATTTGAGATGAGAACTTGGGAGGCTTAGCTTTAGTCAAGTAGTTACGTATGGTTTATAACCTTCACTTTTCTGCTGCTTGTAATGGCATACACACTCAAACACAGCTTCAGAAAGAGAAATTATTGTTTCCTGCTGTTTCACCAGAAATACTGATGTGATATACTGGTGTACATAGCATAAGGGGCTCAGATGCCTTGATGTCTGTGACAGAAAGGAGCCCAAGTGTTTTGGGGGAACCAGTGAAGCTATATGGCTTTTTTGACAAATCTTTCCTTCCCCCAAAATTTTGTTTGTACTCTGACTGTGATTTCAGATAGATGATCTGACCTGTCTCCTTCCCTTTTCTTGTTTATTTAAACAGTGTAAGTGGTATGGCTGCAGAAAGTAGAAAAAAAAAATTCTTGTGGATGTTAATTGGTGACAGATAAATCTTGACTTACTTATTATGTGGAAACTGATACTATAAAAGTAATCAGTTGCTCCTGAATTAATTTTGCCAACTTGCTAATTGAATGTTTTATATATACAAACTTTGAAATGCTGTTATTTTCTGTATACTTTAATTTCAAATGTGTTTGTACTGTTTTTCTAATATAATGCTGTGGTTGGTTGACCCTGGCTGGATGCCAGGTGCCCACCAAAGCTGCTCTATCACTCCTGTTCTCGACTGGACAGGGGAGAGAAAATATAATGAAAAAGCTCATGGTTGAGATAAGGACAGGGAGATCACTCAGCAATTACCATC